ACGCAATAGTGGCCATTTAGTGCTGGGAAAAACAAGACAGACAGAAACAACAGAGGGAAAGTAAAGAAGTAGGACCTGGACCTACCAGTACCAGCAGCGCCCTCCAACCACCCACGTGGTTTCTTCGGAGACTGCTGAAATCTTTCTTTGAGGGGAAAAGAAATAAAATGAGGCAGTACTTCAAGAAGCCTCAATGGGTTTGTTTGTTTGAGTAAAGAGAAGCATATTGACACAATAATGGCTATTTAGTTGGGTTTTTTAATTATTATTTTTTTAAAGGATTGGGCTCATTTTATTGAAATTATCTTTAGCCATTGCAATAACGCTTGGGTGGTTGGCGGATGCTCTGTCGTGTTGCTAGTCCCTTCTTTCCTATCAAACGTCTATTCTTCTTATTTAGATCTATCCACTTTCTTTTTTTCTGTTATTGTTTTTTATTTTGTTTTGTTGTTGTTTTTTTGGTTTCTTTCTTGTAACACCTTTAATCTTATAACGTTACATATTCTTATTGTGTTGAAAGTGCCGTAAAACTTACTAAAAGTTAAACGATTTTTGTCTTACAGTTTTGACTCGATTGCTGACTGTTGGTGGGTGGTTGGCGGGTACTCTGGTGTGGTTTGCTTCTTCTTTCCTATCGAACATCTATCGTCCTTATCTCCCCTTACTCTTTTTTATGTTTGTTACTCTCTTGTAACACCTCTAATTTTCTGGTGCTCATAATATGACCTTATGCAGTTTCGAGCCCGGTAAAACCTCTACTAAAACAAACAAAACAAGAAGGGTTGAGCACATCATCATTTATAGCCTTTCAGGACTTTCACTTTAGTTGTCACTGAGATGTTTCTGGGTTTTTGTTTTTGTGTTTTAGAATTCGGCTCATTTTATTTTAACTATCTTTAGCTATTGTAATAATGCTTGGGTGGTTTGCGGGTGCTCTGTCGTGTTGTTGGTCCCTTCTTTCCTATCAATCTATTCTCCTTATTTACATCTGTCCGCTTTGTGTGTGTGTGTGTGTGTGTGTGTGTGTGTGTGTGTGTGTGTGTGTGTCTTTGTGTGTGTGTGTGTGTGTGTGTGTGTC